GAGAATGGAGAAGGGGATCATGGCATGACCATCTCGCCTGGAGGGTGATTTCTCACTTTCTGTCTGCACATGTGCCTATAGCAAAAATATCTCAAAAAAAAAAAAAAAAAAAAAAGAAAGAAAAAAGAAACAGAAAAGAAATTCATTTTAGGACCAGCAGGTAGCATGGAGGCTAAAGTGCTGAATCTCACATGGCCAACTATGCAGTTTAAGTCTTGGACCTGGAGACTTGAAAACCGTACTGGGCATGTGTGCATGCATACCCAAAATCTTGAAAGGAGACTGCAGAAAAAGGGATTGTGACATGGCCAACCCATGGGGCAATTTTCCACTTTCCTTTTCTCTCTTTATCACTCTGTCTTCCTCTGGCAAGAACAACAACAAAAATCTAATTTTTTTTTTTACTTGTTTAGATGTGATATATTTTGAGGTAATTTTTCTCTGTGGAGTGAGGTAAAAGTCAAAGGTCTTTTTTTCTTTTTTTTTTTTTTTCCTTTGCATGTAGATATACCATTGTTTAAAACCATGTGTTAAAAAGAATAGTTATCCCTCGGAAGCCATGTGTATTGGTTTAGGGCCCCCTAAAGATAGTAAGTAAATGATTAAATCCCTCATAAAAAATAACATCCATTTACAGGGCCAGCAGATGGTGTGGTGGTTAAGCTCTCTGGACTCCCACATAACCAACCATGGTTCGAGTCCCAGACCTGTCAACTTGCTTTCTAACTTTCTCTCTCTCTCTCTCTTTCTCCCTCTCTGGTCAAAGTGAAATAAGTAAAATGAATAAATAAAGTTAAATAAAATAATTTTAAAAAAAAGAAATATGACACCCATTGCATACAACCTATGTAACATCTTCCCATTTACTTTAAATCATCTTAAGATTAAGTAATCTTAAGGGACCAGCAGTTAGCGTAATGGCTATGTCGCTGGACTCCCACATAGTCGACCATGGTTTGCGTCCCGGACCCGGTGGCTTAAAACTCACGCCTGGCGCGTGTGCGTGCGTGCCCAAGAGCCCGAGAGGAGAATGGAGGAGAAGGGATTGCGGAGTGGCCATCCCCCCTGGGGGGTGATTTCTTGCTTTCTGTCTGTCTGGCGAGCGCACGCGCCCTATAGTAAAAACCTCTCAAAAAAAAAAAAAAAGATTGAGTAATCTTAGTATCAGATACAAAATTTCTTGATCATTTCTCTTTTAGTGAGTCCCCCTCACCTTCCCTCATTTCATAATAGTTTGTGTAGGCTAGTTTTATCTGTGGTTGGTTGAATCCATGGATGCAGAACCTAGAGATACAGAGACCCAACTCTATATCCTTGCCCCAGTGAATTGCATTGGTAGCTTTTTTAAAGTAAATTAGATATATGTATAGATCTGTTTCTGGACTTACTCTGTTCCATTAATCTTTAAGTCTATCTTTACACTAGTAAGCACAGTCTTGCTTATTACATATTTACAGTAAGTATAGACATCAGCTAGTGTGAGTGTACCAGTTTGGTTTGTTTTGTGTTTTTTTCCAAAATTATTTGGAGTTTTCTAGATCGTTAGCATTTTCATATACATTCTAGAAAGTGTGTCAGTTTCCACAGAAAAGCATCCTGAGATTTTGACTAAAATTGCATTGAATTGAGACCAGCAGTTGGCGTAATGGCTATGTCGCTGGACTCCCATGTAATCGATCGCAGTTCGCATCCTGGACCCGGTGGCTTAAACTCACTCCGGGTACATGTGCGTGCGTGCCCAAGATCCCGAGAGGAGAATGGAGGAGAAGGGATTGCAGCATTGCCATCCCCCCCGGGGGCGATTTCTCACTTTGTCTTCTCTCTCTCTCTCTCTCTCTCTCTCTCTCTGTCTTTCTGACGAGCACACACGCCTATAGCAAAAACCTCTCCAAAAAAGAAAAAACAAAACAAAACAAAAAACCTCACACCTGTGTGTGCTTGTCCAAAATCCCAAGAGGAAAATGGAGGAGAAGGGATTGTGGGGTGGCCATCCCCCTCCCCAGGGGATGATTTTTCACTCTCTCTCTGACTCACTCTCTGGTGGAGCACACATGCCCCATAGCAAAAGTCTCTCAACAACAACAAAAAAGATATGTACTCTTAATGAACTGACCCTTTTATGTATGTCATATGTAGTGTCCCTCTTTGCTGGGCAGTTTTGGTTTTGTCTGATTCAAAAACTGATATAACTCCAGCTTCCACTTTGATTAGTACTTGCATGGCATATCTTATTCTGTTATTTTAACCTAAATTTACATGTGATATATTTTTGATGGTCAGATTTTTTTTTTCTTTCTGACAGTCTTTCTGTTTTCATTGGTGTGTTTAAACCATTTACATGCTCTTGCTGAAAAGAGTAAGAGAGGGAAAGTGAGAAATCACCTCTCTGAGGGTATAGCCATGCTGCAGTCCCTTCTCTGCCATTGACACCTCAAGATCTTACACAAGCATGCTCATGTGCAATGATTTTTTTTTTGGAGAGGTTTTTCACTATAGGGCGCTTGCGCTCGCCAGCCAGACAGAGAGAGACGTAGAGACAGAAAGCGAGAAATCACTCCCCAGGGGTCATGGTCACGCCGCAATCCCTTCTCCTCCATTCTCCTCTCGGGATCTTGGGCACATATGCACACGTGCCCGGCATGAGTTTTAAGCCACCGGGTCTGGGACGTGAACTGCATTCGACTACATGGGAGTCCAGCGACATAGCCATTACGCTAACTGCTGGTTCCCCCTGTCATGATTTTTAAGCTGTGGGTCCTAGACTCAAACTGCGGTTGGCCGCATGGAAGTCCAGCGCCTTAACCATCATGTCACCTGCTGGCCCCTTTCTTCACCTTTTCTTTTCTGCCTGTTACTGGGTTGATTTGTACATTTAGGAAGATTTCATTTTAATTTAATGTAACTTTGATTATCACTTTGTATAGTTGTTGCTCTAGTGATTACAGTATACATCTTGGACCTAGAACTTAATTACATATTGCTTAATATTCATTGACTGAAGTAATATTTTTGTGATCTGACTGGTTTTTATTATGTTAGTTCTGATATTTTTCTAAATAAAATTAATTGAAAAAATTATCTTTCTCTAACATACAATCTGTTTATTTAGTATAGTTTTTTGTTACTATATTTTTGTATCTTAGTAATCACATTTATTGGAAGGCACATCTTAGGATAAAAAGTAAGGCATATTTTAGGAGAAAAAGTAAAGTGCCATTAGCCTGAGAAGTTTCAAGTTATCTGATTCTTCAAATCAGCCTAAGAGTGAAAAAAATCCTCAGATCATATAAAAATGTATGCATTTCTCCTTTTTTTGAAGGTCTTGTACATTTAAAGAGGCAGTTATACAAGTCTCCTGTTTTCTGTATAAAATAAATTCTTTGTTTTAGCCAACCTTCAGTGGAGGGGCAACTAGTACAACAGCATCTCCCTGGACAAAGAGCACTGGAATATTCTGTTTCATTGAGTTATATAGAGTTATATATCTCTTGATATGTTTCTTTGTCAATTTCTATAGTAATAACATTTCTTCTACATCTCCCAGTATCATATTTAAGTTTGATCATAAGCACATGATCTGCCTCAGAGCTCTCAGTCATTTCATTTTCAAGTAAATTTGCTTCTCCAGGCCAAGCCTGATGAAATCCAAGGGCTCCTCTATGGTGTTGGTAGGTTATTGCTGGTACATGTAATATACCATGTTTCAATCCCTGTGCCCTTCATTTTAATAAAGTATTGCTGCCCAGTAGAGTTATCTTGAAAAAAAATGTAACATGTCCTTTAGTTTATTAATAACTTACCTTGCTTCCTCTACAAAGGAAATATTACTTTATCTTCTTAGTCTCACTTAAGCTGATATCTGGCATTATTGTACAGCTCAGTTGTTGTTTTTATTTCTTTCATGAGAGAGAGAGAAAGTGAGAGAGATAGGCAACCTCCATCAGGGTTCCCATGCTACAGTCCTTCCTCCTCCATCCTCAGCCAGCCAAGATATTGGGTAATGTGCATAGGGAGATAATCGGAATGTGACGCTAGACCCGCTCCTGTGGACTCAGCCTGTTGGAGTGCTACACCATGTTGTGCCACCACAGCTGGCCTAATTTTTTCTTTTGAGTCAAGAATTTGTTTTTATATGACTTATAACACTGTTTGCCTTACACGTGGCTATTTTTGAGGACAGTGTTATGTTTACATGATTCTGTTTATATAGTCATAGTAGAAACAATTGAAAAGCCTCAGGATAAGCTCTGTTCTTGTGAGTAGTGTCAAAAAAGTTTCTTAATTTTTGCAAGTTTGTTTTTTCTTTTGTAAAATAGATCATTTGACCTGTTTGAACTTTGGTAGCTTTTTTGTGTTGTATTCTAATTTGGCTATATCTATGTTAACATAGTTTTGATAATTTACAAATAAGCTCAGTCTGTTTAAAGGATCTTTGGTTTGTTTCTGTCAAAACCAAACAACAGTTAAACCATTTGAAGACATAGCAGATTTTACTCATACTCTGTTTCAAAGCATCTGAGTTTTAATAATTCACATAGATACTAGAATGACAGCTTACTTATTTAGGGAAATATATAGCTTGAAAGAGTTAAAAGTAATAAACAAAGCAGAATTCAGACTACAATATAGCTGTTAAGTGCGATGTTGTCATTCCCCCTGCTCAAAATAAATTTGCTTCTTAACTATACCTGTCTGCTATACTCAAGTAGCAACCAGGAACACTTGGTCTCATACACAATGAAAGAAAAAAAAAATGTTAAAGTAAGCTTGTCAATCATTCTGCTTGTTGTAGCCCAGGTAATGCTCCCAGAAGCCACAGTGTATCTTAGTGCTATGCAGTAAAGCTTTGTAATGATAGAAATGTCTTGTTTGTGCTATGTGGTACAGTAGGTACTTTAATTTCATTTATTTTAAAATAACTAGCACTTTTGTAGTGCATAAAACTAAGTAGGTTCTGTCATGTATGTATACAAATAATCTTGTATATCTATTCTTTGCAGATCCAGGATGAGAAGACTGATAAAAGAAGAAGCTAGCTGAACAGCTATAATAAGATGCCCAAATCTGGGTTCACAAAACCAGTTCAGAGTGAAAATTCTGACAGTGACAGCAATATGGTAGAAAAATCATATGGAAGAAAGGTATATAATAATACTAAAGATTTATTGACTCTTTTGGGACTGGAAAAAGACAACTAGCTTAATATATTTACTAATTTATTCATAAAATGAAAAACAATATAGATGTCAGATAAATCTAAACCATGTATCTAAGCCCTTTGGAAATAAATTTGATTTGTGTATATACCATTGTTTTTCATTCCCTAAGAGGAACACAGTTACTAGTAAAACATAGTTACTAGTAAAACATAATTACTAAGATCACTCTGCTGGGACCAGCAGTTAGCGTAATGGCTTTGTCGCTGGACTCCCACGTAGTTGACCGCAGTTCGAGTCCTGGACCCGGTGGCTTAAAATTCACGCCAGGCGTGTGTGCGTGTGTGCCCAAGATCCCGAGAGGAGAGTGGAGGAGAAGGGATTGCGGCGTGACCATCCCCCCTGGGGGGTGATTTCTCGCTTTCTGTCTCTCTGTCTCTTTCCATCTTTCTGGCGAGTGCACGCACTCTATAGCAAAAACCTCTCCAAAAAAAAAAAAAAAGATCACACTGTTGAAAATAATTTATCATTGAGAGAAGGAAAAGGCCTAAGACCTCACAATCATTTGACATTTCTTTGTCTACCCCCACCCTTGGTGGCAAAGCATACATGAACACTAGCTGCTCCATTTTCCAGGTCTGTATCCTGGATACATTTCTTTAACTTTTGCATCCTCAGTGTCTCTCTCTTTCTGTAATAGAAGACAATAGTGCCTTATAGAAATGAGAGAGACAAATACTGTGCTTATTATCACGTTGCCTGGTACATAGTAAATGCTTACTAAATGTTAACAGTTTTTGTTATCGCCAAAGACCTATGATTCTTTTTTACATCTACTCTCCTTCATTCCTATTTAATTTAGATCCTCAGAGCTTTCATTTAGATTTCTGTAGTTATCAAAATGCCCTTTCACTAGTCTCTCCTTATCTACTTTGTATTTTTTTTAAGAGTTATGTTTTTAATTTAACTTTATTTATTTATTCATTTCATTTTGACCAGAGAGAGACAGGGAAATGAGAAAGCAAGCCTCCAGGTCTGGGACTCAAACCACGATCAGCCATGTGGGAGTCTAAGACCCTTAGCCACGCCACCTGCTGCACCCATCTACTTAGTTTTGTATATTATCTTTGAAATTTTACTTTCTGTTTTTTTCTCTGTGTAATTCTTCTTGTTAAGCCATTTTCTTGTTGAAGGACATTTTAGGCAGGTCAAATTTTTAGCCAGAGAATTGTGTAACAATCATCACAATTCAATCTTAGAACATTTCCATCGTTTGCATTGTCCATTTACAGTCAGGTGACACTCCCACCTCAGTATCTAGGCAACTTCAAATCTGCTTTCACAAGCACAATTTTTCAGTTTATGTTGTTCTCAAAATTGTTTTGACTATTCAAATTCAAGACACTTTGCATTTTCATATAAATTTTAGGATCAATTTGTTAGTTTCTGCAAAAATACCTTGCTGAGGTTTTTTGACAGGTTTTTGTGTTTGTTTATTTCTTTTTTAGTTTGCTTTAGGGTGCTTGCACTTGCTGGAGAGAGATGTGGAGATACAGGTATGAGAATGCAACCCCCAGGGGGTATGACTACCCCACAGTCTGTTCTCCATTCTCCTCTTAAGATTTCAGGCACTCATACACATGCTCCTTGTATGTTTTTTAAAGCACTTGGTCCAGGACTCAAACCCTATCGATGGCCATGTGGGACCTAGTTCCTTAACCACTATCCCTCCTGGCTGCCCCTTGATAAGAATTGTATCAAATCTATAGATCACTTTGAGGAGTATTGTCATCTTCATAATATTGTTTTCCAATCTGTGAGCATGAAATCTCTCTCCATTTATTTAAATATTCTTCAGTTTCCTTCCTTCAGCCGTATATTATAGTTTTGAGTATACAGGTCTACATTTGTGTTGTAAGTATTTCCTTCAATTCTATACTATTAGTGATAAATTCATTTTGGATTTTTTGTTGCTATCATGAAAATATGATTGATTTTTAAGTAGTGATCTTATATTCTTTGACCTTACTCATTTATTGATTCCAAAAGTACATGATTCCTCGGGGCCAGCAGATGGTGTGGTGATTAAGGTGCTAGATTGCCACATGGCCAACTGTTGTTCTAGTCTTGGACCTGGTGGCTTGAAACTCAGTGCTGGGCGTGTGTGCATGCATGTATGTGTGCCCAAAATTCTGAGGAGAATAGACGGGATTGTGGCATGGCCATCTCCCCTAGAGGGTGCTTTCTCATTCCCTCCCCTCTCTCTTTCTGTCTCTCTCTAGGGTGAGTGTGCATGCCTTATGCAAAAACCTAAAAAATAAAAATAATCTTTTTTTTTTTTTTTTAAAAAAGGACATGATTCCGTAAGATAGTCTACATATGGGATTATGTCATCTGTGAATAAAGATAATTTTATATCTTTTCCACTTTGGGTCTTTTTTAATTTATTTAAAAGCCTTTTTTTTTAGAACTATTCATTTTTTCATCTATTATTATTATTTTTCTATTTGACCAGAGAGAGAAAGGGAAAGTGAGAAAGCAAGCCACCAGGTCCAGGACTTGAACCACAGTCAGTCATGTAGGAGTCCAGCACGCTTAACCACCTCCTTACCCCAGGGTTGGTCTTTTTCTTGAGTCTTTTTCTAGCATGATTGCCTCTTTTTAACAGGTCATCGGGAAAGTCATGACACATACCTGCATAGAAAAATACATCATGACTTTTCCAACAACCCAGTAAATCCGATTGCACTATCAGTCTGCCTTTTGATTGCAGTGTTTAGTCTACTCATATTTCATTGTAATTATTGCTTTTTAAAAAATATCTGATGTTTATATCTGCTATTTCGATCTTCATTTCTTTTCTTTTCTTTTCTTTTTTTTTTTTTTTTAAGACAAGGTCTCATTATCCTCCTGCCTCAGTCTCCCAAGTACCTGAGACTATAAGAATGTGCCACCATAGCCAGTATTTTTAGGGTCAGCTGGGCATTAAACCCAGGCCTCCCATGTGACTTCAGCCTGTGAAACAACATCTTACCAGTGTTTGCCACCACATCTGGGTCTGCTCTTGGTTCTTTTGGTTTCCTTTTTTGTTTTTTCCCTTAGATGCTCCTATGGTCAGCCATGTGTAAGTGTCCAGTGCCTTATCCACCATGCCACATCCTGGCCCTTAGGATTCGATTTGTAAAGCCAGTCTTTGGAATTGTGTTGGTTAACTTCTAATCATGCCTTTTTATCCTTTGCACTTCTTACATTTTGACATTTGAAGCCTTGCTGACCCTTTAGAGACTGTCCCTATCAGTGCCAGCCAGTTCCTAAAGAGAGAATAATGTGCTTATGAACATATATTTCATATGCAAATCCAGAGCCCAAACTCCAACCCCACTATGTCCATGCTCTAGCCATCCCAGAGTCTAGTACCAATTAGAAGAATAGCCCCTGTATGTAGAGCTTGTTGAATTTACTCAAACTAGCCACCTAAACCTGCTTTTTTTTTTTTTTTTTTGAGAGGTTTTTGCTATAGGATGTGTACGCTCGCCAGAAAGACAGAGACAGAAAGTGAGAAATCACCCCCCGGGGGGATGGCCATGCAGCAATCCCTTCTCCTCCATTCTCCTTTCGGGATCCTGTCTGGACGCCCGGTATGAGTTTAAGCCACCGGGTCTGGGACTTGAACTGCAGTCGGCTACATGGGAGTTCAGTGACATAGCCATTGCGCTAACTGCCGGTCCCAACCTGCTTAATCTGCCTCACCCTTTCTTTCCTGCAGAAACCATAATAAAGGCTTTTGTCAAGTGTTCCCCTTTTCTAGTTCCTCCTTTTCTAGTGCTTCTCCATGTACTTTGGTGTGGCATAACATGTCCTCTATCCCGTTGGGATTGTGAGTAAAAGGCTTTTTAATGACAGTCATTTCCTGATTCTGTTGGCCTCACTATCCCTAAATCATAGTAAAACCAACATTTTAAGACAACCTTACAAGTGAAACGCTTGCCTTTGAAGCTCCATTTCATTGGCAGTAAAACAAAAGCAAACAGAACCAGAACAACTCAGGGAACCAGCATGTGGTATAGCAGTTGTGTGACTGGACTCCCACATGGCTGACCATGGTTTGAGTCCTGGACCCAATCATTTGAAAATCATGAGGGGTGCGTGTGCATGCGTGTCCAAGATCCCAGGAGGAGAATGGAGGAGAAGGGATTGTGGTGAGGCCATTTCCCTTGGGGGTGATTTCTCACTTTCCCTCTCACTGTCTCTTGTCTTTCTGTCTGTCTATCTATCTGGCTACTGCATGCACCTTTAGACAAAAACCCCTTTTTTTAAAAAACAAAAACAAAACAAAATTAATAAAAAAATAAATAAAATAAAAATTAAAAAAAAAAACCCTGTTCAAGAAAATCTTACTGTAGAGCTTGGAAATAAATAACATGAGGCTCTTGTTTTTCTATACTCTCTCTACTTAAGATATAAGGAAGAGAACCAGCAGTTAGCGTAATGGCTATGTCGCTGGACTCCCACGTAGTCGACCGCGGTTCGTGTCCCGGACCCGGTGGCTTAAAACTCACGCCGGGCGCGTGTGCGTGCGTGCCCAAGATCCCGAGAGGAGACAAAACAAAATTAATAAAAAAATAAATAAAATAAAAATTAAAAAAAAAAACCCTGTTCAAGAAAATCTTACTGTAGAGCTTGGAAATAAATAACATGAGGCTCTTGTTTTTCTATACTCTCTCTACTTAAGATATAAGGAAGACATAGTCTTATACTAATGCCAATAGGTTTATCAAGAATGAACATACAATTTTTTGAAGTCATTCTAGTCAACTTTAAAATCATCATATTTTCTTTAAACCTTTGAGACAATGAATTATCTTAAGAGGTTCTCTAATAATTAACTATCCTTGCATTCTCTGCATGAGCCCTGTTTGATTTTGGTATATTTTATTTATTTTTTTAAAAGAATTATTTTATTTAACTTTATTTATTTTCAGTTTGGTCAGAGAGGGACAGAGAGAGAGAGAGAGAGAAAGCAAGAAAGCAAGCCACCAGGTCCAGGACTCAAACTATGGTCAGCAGTGTGGGAGTCCAGTACCCTTATATGCCACACCACCTGCCAGCCCCCAATTTTGGTATATTATCATCTAAGACACTGAATTTGAGTTTACAAACTATTTAGGATTGTTGCAGTTACTTTTATAAGCAGATTTTGTCTATAATTTTCTGTGCTCTCTTTGGTATCAGTTTTATTTTAGACTCAAAATTGAATCAGGTAACTTCTTATTTCTGTGCTGTGTGTGGTATTGTTTATATAAAATGGGAGATACTTTTTCTTGGAATTTTTTTGGTAAAACTCCATTATAAAATCTGTACTAGGTGCCTTTTGAAATAATCAAGGTTTTGGCTGTGGATTTATTGTTTCCTATGGTCATTGGTGTATTCACGTTTTCTCTTTCATTCATGAATGAGCCAATTTTTAGTAATGTATATTTTCCAAGAAAATTATCTTTTTAGGCCTTATGTTTCTTTAATAACCTAAAAATAAATACAGCATTCTTTGTAACTTTCAGTATTCCCTCTGGAATTGTATTTGGGCTCAGTCCCAATCTTTATAATTACTCTCTCTCATTTTCATGATTAAACTTGCCAGAAGTTTATTCTGTTGTTGTTTTAGAAATTCATTTCAGTTTGATTGATAAAGTCTCCTTTTAAAAATAAGTATTTTAATTGTTTATGTCCCATCTTTCCCCTTTTCCTTTCTTTATTTTATTTTTTTTGACATCACATGTCTTATTTAGATAGCATTCCGATCACACACGGTCTGAGCACATTCAAATAATATAATTCAAGTATGTAATCAGCTGTTAAAAGACTGATCTTCAAACATCATAGCCAACAATACCACACTGGCCTATGATCTTGCCAACATAAAACCACATCCACACCTCGGTAGCCACCAAACCATTCACCAGAGCTTCCTTAACCGGGAGCTGTTTGAAGCTACTGGTTTGAGCATTACTGACTATTTTTTTCAGGCTCTGAATAGCTACAGGGATCTCAGCAGGGTTTGGAGGAACCAGCTCCACCTTGGCATAGTACCAAAATGTGGCCATTCGAGACTTTGAGTAAGTCACAGCAGCGTTCACCAGCGCCTGGTGCCTTCTCCGCAAGGTTACGGACAAACTGGGCCATGATCCTGGGAGGAGAAGTCCGTCACCCTGAATGGCCGGCTCCCTTTCTTTATTTTTCATCTTGGGTTAAAAGTTAGTGTCTTTTGCACTCGTTGTGAGTCAACTTCTAATTTGCTTCTGAAGATCTCCACAATTACGATAAATATTATTTATCATCATCACCGTTTGGAGAATATACTTTTAAGCTCTGTTTATAAGGCTGTGTGGCTTAGTTCTTAGTATCAAGTGTATTTTTTACAAAGGAGTTGTCACAGCTCAGCTTAGATGTGCTTGTTCAATTGGATATTAGATTATAGGAATGAATTTTTTAACATCTAAGGCCATGGGAGTAGGGGCATTCACTTGACTGGGTGGTAACATAATCTTTTTATCTGATATAGTGTTATCCGTTTACCAAATTGAATTAGGAATGTATTCCTTTTTCTCTGATTTCAGAAATGAAGTTCAGTCTTTTACTGAACTGGACAGATTATCCTTCGGTTCCTGTGATTCATGTATATTTATTTACCTCTTTATTGATAAAGAGTAGTGGTTTTAAAACTCTTAGCATGCATCATAATCACCTGGAAGGACTGTTAAATAAGTTGGCCCCACCTCACAGGTTCTGATTTAGTGGATCTGGGATGTAGCATGGGAATTTGCTTTCCTGAAAAATTCTCAAGTGATGCTGCTGCTCCTAGTCTAGAGATCCTTTGAGACCCACTGATAGTCTCTTCAATAAAAGACAGTGTTGAATTCAGTTCAGAATTGCTTTTTCGGATTTATACATTTAGTCTTTGATGGTATATCTAGGTTATACTTAGACATTTGACTGTTGTATTTTACTTAAAAATTCTGTTATTAAGCAAAAGTAGGATAATGTGAAACAAATTAGTAAAAAAAAAGTTCTAATTGTTGACACCGGGTATTGATTACATTGAATACAATGATGTCTGCGATGTCCCTCTTTACTCTTGTGTATGTTTGGAATTTTCCTTTAATAATGAGGAATTCTATTGTTTAACTAATGATATAACGTCTTCATATTTATTGTTTAATAGAGTAAAGACAAGATTGCATCCTATAGTAAAACTCCAAAAATTGACCGAAGTGATGTGGGCAAGGATATAAAAGAGAAATCATCCATGAAACGTAAACTACCTTTTACCATCAGCCCATCAAGAAATGAAGAACGAGATTCAGACACAGGTAGAATAATTCTTATTCTTTGGTAAAATTTTATTCTTTCTTTTACTGTGATTTTTCTCTCACCTGCACCACTCCTTTTGACACCCAGTTTACAGAGAAATATGTTTCTTTCAGTGTTTCAGATTTATCAGTTTGAGGCATTTATCACCAGATTTGTTTTCTAACCAGAGATACAAACAATTTGCTTTTATTCCTTCCTCTCTTAATTTTTATTACAAATGTCTTGTCACTTTCAGAACTGAATTTTTTTGGGAGTATTCCACTAACAAAAAATGCACTCAATCTTAAGGAAGCATTAGGATATAGTACATTTGAGAAAAAATTGTTGTGTACATGTTACTGAGTGCATTGAAAAAGTTTAGGCATTTCAGAAATGAATTAGAAGTGTCTACCACAAAAATAAATTTTTTGAGACTAATTGCCTAAGTGCTATTCATAGTACCTTTGTTTCTCTAAACTCTCATATATGAGAATTTGATACTTGGGATTAGTCAATCCCAGTTATTCATAAATAGATGAGAATTCTTTTACCACATCTAATAAATTACTAGGTTGGGCTTTAGCTCTGAACTAATCACTTTTTTTTTTTTTTTTGAGACGTTTTTGCTATAGGGCGCGTGCGCTCGCCAGACAGACAGAGAGGGACAGAGAGATAGAAACCGAGAAATCACCCCCCAGGGGGGATGGTCACACTGCAATCCCTTCTCCTCCTTTCTCCTCTCGGGATCTTGGGCATGCATGCACACGCATCCGGCGTGAGTTCAAGCCGCCAGGTCCGGGTCTCGAACTGCGGTCGACTACGTGGGAGTCCAGCAACATAGCCATTACACTAACTGCTGGTCCCTGAACTAATCACTTTTGAAACTAATAGAAACTTGAATGTTTGTTAGGTATTTTATCAGTTTTGTTTTCCTACATGAAATATTAATAATGAACTTTTTGTAAGACTAAATTTTTTTTGGAGAGCTACCTGCCATAGGATGTCTGCGCTCACCAGAGAGACAGAGACAGAAAGTGAAAAATCACTCCCCAGGGGTGATGGCCATGCCACAATCCCTGCTCTATTATCCTCTCAGTATTTTGAGCATGCATTCACATGTGCCTGGTGTAAGTTTCAAGCTGCTGGGCCTAGGACTCCAATTGCAGTTGACCATGTATGTAAGAGTCCAATGTGTTAACCACTGTGCCACCTGTTGTCCCCCTTGTCATACTCACAGAAATTAATTATCCCTCTGAGCTTATGTACAAAAATTACATCCTACTTACATATTTCTAGCTGTCTTAATCATTAGCACATAAATGATCTTGACTCAGAATCTGGAATACTCTAAAAGTTTTGGAAACACCTTATGCTAACATAGGTTTAGAAAATACTTAATTTTTAGTATATACTTTGAGAAGGTAGGTCATTTATTTATTTTTGGAGACATTTTTCCTATAGGGTGCATGTGTTCACTGAAGAAACAGAAAGAGATAGAAAGCGAGAAATCACACTTCCACCAAGGGGTGATGGCCATTCCATAATCCCTTCACAATCCCTTCTTCAGTTTCCTCTCAGGATTTTGGGCATGTATGCACACACACTCAATATGAGTTTCAGGCTGCCAGGTCCAGGACCCAAACTGCATTATACCACATGGGAATCCAGTGCCTTAACCAGTACACCACCTGCTGGCCCCTTCTTTTGTGTATTTTACTGTCTCTTAGCTCTAATTAGAACTTGTTCTTAAATATTCATGACATTTTTTTAAACCTGAAGTTTGTTTTTTCTTGCAGCAATTAAGAAATTATGTGCTTTGTTCATTTTAAGTTACACTGGTGTCTTTTAGAGATTTAGATTTTTTTTTAATGAAGCATGACTCCTTATCTGTAAGCAGATTTTAAAGCTATTAGTCACTTAATTGAGAAGAAAGTATTTGTGTGCCTTTAGATAAGAATTTTACACTTCTTATATTTTATCCTTGAAAATTTCTTTGATAGTCATTTTAAAATTACTTACATACCCATGTTTTTTCCCAGTGACAGCAATATTTCTGTGTAGTCTAAAGAAGGAATTTCAGTAAATTCAAAGAGTATTAACATTTTTTAGGAAAAAATAAAATTTCAAAATAAGAAACTTCCTGTGAGAGGCTTTGTTATAAAATACAGTGGACTGTTTGTCTTTTATTTACAATAAAGTAAAGGAGAAAATGCTGCTTAGGAAGACATACACTTTAGACACCAAATAAACATGATCTAAGTGTTTATTTTTAAAATTTGACATAGGGCATGTGCACTCCCCAAGGGGTGGCAGGGGGAGAAAGTAAATGAGAAAGCATTCCCTAGGGCGATGACTGTGCCAGGATTTTTACCTCCATTTTCCTTTCGTGATTTTTCAGTTTGCACACACATGCCTCTGGTATGTGTTTTAGGCTGCCAGGTCCAGGATTCAAACCACACAGTCAGCCATGTGGAATCCAGCTACATAAGTTACACCATCTGGCTGGTCCCCTAACTTATATTTTAATATTGAGTTAGCGTTTTTTCATTGTTAAATTTCTCCACTGTTTGAATTTAATGGCATATTGCAGCTCTCTTTTTAAGACCATTTTATGACAAACTTATTTATTATTTAAAAAGTTTATTTTGGGGGGCCTGGCAGGTGGCGTAGTGGTTAAGGGTGCTGGACTCCCACAAGGCTGACTGTGATTTGAGTCCCAGACCTGGCAGTTTGCTTTCTTACTTTCCCTCTCTCGCTCTCTCTATTGCTCTGTCCTTCTCTGGTCAAATTTAAAATAAATAAATTTTT